TGTTTGGTGTGATGGGGATTCGAACCCGCGACCCTCAGATTGTGAGTCGAGCGCCCTAACCACCTGGCCATGCTTGGCCCATCACATTGTTTCAATTACATTTTAATCAGACATTATACCCATAAATGTTCAACAAAAATTTAATTATATTCTATAAATAAATACATTAATCAGATTATATATATATACACATATACAGGCTTTTTGAAATATAAACACACACTAAATGCAAGAGTTGGAATATAATCTACTTAAGTAGTTTTACAAAATACTTGAAACGTTACAGAAGTAAGAAGAAAATGTGATATAATGCACAAAGTTCTAAGCCTCTTCAAATCTATAAGCTGCAGACAAAACAGGTTTAGATGACTACAATGTACAGAACTCACCATGTTATGACCTTGTGAAAATGCTAGTTCTGCTGGTTTCTGACCGCTCAGACTTACAAGATTAGGGTCTGCTCTCGCATCTAGAAGTGTTCTCACAACAAGACCGTGTCCACGGTTTGCTGCCCATGCTAAAGCCTGAATAAAAAGGATTATTAACTCATCATTCTAACACTATTATGGTATTACAGAAACAGAATTCTTGCTCCTAGAAGGCTTGGGTAAACAAATAGGTATTTCACACAAACACTGCTTTTAAAACTACAATTTCATTATTTAAATTTTGGGAATATGTTTATAATAGTAATCTGTACTTCATAATAATAAAACTTATATCGGGTGGCAGTGGTGATGCTAGGCATAAGCAGACTAAGCAACTACTTGGTGCCTCGAACAGCTTAAAGGGCGATTCACACGTATTTTTTTTCATCAGAGCTTCAACTTTTGCATGTTTTAGTATTGTACGAATGTAAAAAAAAGAAGACTTAAAAATGTATCAATCAGTAATGGATGGAAATTTAAAAATTGCACTAGTAAGACACTTCTCAGTCAGGCACACATGCATTGAACAAGTGCTAATTGGTTGCTAATTACAGCACGATTTGAAAAAGTTACTGGCACAGTGGTGTTGCAAATAGAAATTACTTTGTGACAAGTGCATTAGTATGTGTTGTGTTGGTGAATTTTTGCTTTTTTTTGGAAATTCTGCAATTAGTTTTTTTTAAGGGATGGATAAAGGGGTCCAAAACTATTCCTATTTAAGGCTACTGATGGGCTAGCGCCACCCCTGTTTGACGGTGGTGGAATATGAACTTCAGTTTTTAACTGAATTGAAAAAAATTTTGAGAAGCCATTTTAGTGAGAACAGTTTACAAATTATGTTTAAAAAGTCTTCAAAAAAATTGTAGTCAACATGTAAAAAAAAGAACATTGTTTAAACATAACAGAACATTTTGTTTTCGAAAAAAATATATAAATAATTAAATCATAAGAGTATTTAAAGTAAACAAGTATTCAAAAATATATTTATCAAAAACTCATGATTTAAGCACAGAAATAAACTGGATACCTTAAAATATAACTACTTACCGTCCAGCCTCGATTGTCTTGTCTGTTCAGATCTGTGCCATATTCAATCAGCTTTTGTATTATTTTACTTCTTCCTTCACGTGCTGCAAACATCAGTGGTGTCATTTGATGCCTTAAGTTTAAAAAATGTTATTAAAGTCGTGAATGAAAATCTTTTACATTTTTTTTTATATAAACATAAGAAAAACAGGCACTGACAAATTAATTTTACTCATCTTCACTAAAAATGCATGTATATTCTGTAATAAATAAGAAATTTGTGTTCACAATAAGTTATATGTAACATGTAAAAAAATCCTGAAAATCTAAGTATGTGAAAAATAAGTTCACTTGAATAAAATAGTGTGAATAGAACTAAAACACATTTTTTTAACTTTATAAATATTTTCAAATATTAATATAGTGTCCTCATTTCTTGAGCATGTTATGTTTTTTAGAGATATGAAAGATAGCTATTGCTTAGAAATATTTTTTAACCGCCCATGTGCACGTGGACAAAATAGCTTGAAAATAAGTTTTCACGTGATTTTTATCAAAACTGCCATAAAGGCTGAATGTACCAATTCCAATGTACCAAGGACCAATTCACTAACTTTCGGTAAAAGAGTATCAAAGGTAAAGAAAAGTGATTTGCCACATTGTCATCTATCAGTAATGTTTCAAGATCAATACAAAACTTGTGATATCGAAGACACAGACCAAACTGTTTGTGCAGAAATTCCCAGTGCACAGAATGACAGGTGATTATATGAGTTAACAACAAATTATTTGTGGCTCATGTGGTTTACTACATCCTTCATGTGTATGTATGATTGATAGTTTCTGTACAAAGGAAAGACCTATCAAGACACAAAGTGCACCAAAATGAGGTTACCCTTTCTATAGATGAAGAAACAATAATGTAACACTTACAGCACAAATTTACAGTCATGATATTAATGTAGACTATATCTTTGTAGTGTCTTAGAATCCATTTATTTTGAAATATTTTGAGGTGCATATTATTTTTGAACAATGCTGTACTGTACAGACTGTTAAATACCTGCACAACTACATTTACAATGGACATGACTGTGCAAACGTTCAGATAGCACCTCGCGTGCTAGATCACGATGAAACAACCATGTATCTAAACATCCAGTAAGTTAGTCCACAAAAAGCAGCATGGCAAATTTCCAAGTTTCATTTATCTCGTCAGTCCCATACCATATGTCATTTATTGAACATCTCCCTCAACAGCAGCAAGTGTTCTTCAGAGAGGGCAGTGAAGAAGATGCGTCAGAAAGAGTTCAGGTTAGGAATACCAAGTTAATGGCATTCCTCCAGCTAAATGAAGAAAACCTCTAAGCCCATCAATATACGTATGAAGATATCCCCAATCATTTTGATAATAACACGTACTTAGAAGCCGCATCAAAGAGAAGATGATAGGGTAACTGGACAAGTACATATTTTCTCCAGCAGACTCTGAGAAATATTACTTAAGGATGCTTCTACTCCATGTAACAGGAGTTACATCTTCTTTAAGAGTTACACATAGTTAAATCAAATATAATTCATGACATCTCAAAAGGTGGGGTTACTTGCAGACAATAAAGAATGGGAATGCATTTTAACTGAAGCATACTCATTCCTGACACCTTAACTCAGAGGCAACTCTGAAGATGCAATATGTGTATTTGAACAGCCAGCAGAATGAGGGTGGCTTTACAAACAGTCTAAGCACAGTTTCTATGAAGATTTCACGAGAACAGTGAATCAGTAAGAGGTGAAAATATTGGCATCAGCAGAAATAATTGACATTTGGAGGGTGAACATAATGTCAAAATGGTTAAATCACTGGCTTATCCCCTCTCATTTATAATAAATATTATAATTGTTTTGTTAACCCAAGCATGGATAATGATGCACAATTATTTGCATCTTACATTTATCAAAAGAAAACAAATTAAATTGTAATTAGTTAACGAGTTTAGCTTAATATTTCTATCAATGACTAAACTGTGATATATACACATAAGGCTTAACTAATTGATCTCAAAAAAGTATCTTAAATTACAATTCTACATAAACCTCAAGAATACTGCTTAACAAATGACATACATTCATCTTGATATCAAAATGTTATATTTCACAAAACTGTCTCCATTCAACCTTCAAAATTACATGCTACCTAATAATCACCTTTCCCAAATGTTAGCATCTGCCCCATACTCCAACAAGTATTCAACACATTTTAACAGATCTTCTTCTTCATCTTTCCTGGAAGCACATGCAGCCATCAATGGTGTAAAAGCATCTACAATGCAACACAAAAAAGCACACATAGGTTCAACAAACAAAAGTCTTTCACATATCAAAAGCAAGAATTCCACAATAACCCTCACTGGATCTCATTGATATTCCTTGAAACTTAGAACAAACTTACTAAATAGTATCTAATTTCAGCTTTAAAATATATATATATATAATTTGATTCAGTCTTTCTACCAATTTTTACATAGTGAACTTTCCAAAATTTTATTGTGAGACATTAAAAATACTTCCTTTCATCTTAGAATTTCAATATATTCTATCGACGATCAGAACATTTCACTTGAAATATAACCAGTTAATTTCAAGCTGACTGATCAGTGGTTATGTTAACGCAAAAATTTGCATCCTGAAAACAAAATGAATCATCTGAAAAAAAAACATTTTACATTCATACAAGTTTAAAAATGAGAAAGGAGCACAATAAAAAAAAATAAGATGCATGTAACCCTTTCCAGACTTAAAAAGTATGTAGTTGTAATGTGAAGAAACTCATATAATTTGATTTAGTTTCTCAATCCTTTTTCATGTTGTAAAATGTCCAAACAGTTGTTATGAGACACAGTGTTGATAAAATGTTCAAAATACTTCATCCTTGAATTTCACTTTTTAATTTATCATTGTTGAGAAAGTTCCATTTTATATTTATCTAGTCAGTTTCAACTAAATGGACATTCATTAACACACTTCTTTTGATACCTTATTTTGCCAATTACAACAATCAACACTTTTGTCTGTAAATCATAAAAAAAACAGCAAAAACTAATAAAGATTTATCAGTTACCCTGGACCTCACCTTTCAAAGTAGCATCACCATTACCTTTGTTACCTAGTCACCTACAATGACAATACTTTTGCTAACAATACTCTTGATCAAAATCATAAACTGATTTATTTTATGTTATTTGAATATGATAAAGATGAAATTAATATTCAATAGATAAATATTTGATTCATCAGAATATATTGTTGCCTACTACACAAGTGGTTATAATAAGCTATGGATTTCTCAGCATTCAAAATTTCCCCTTTATTGATGTACTTAAACCTTTTTGAACCACAACAGAAGGATATAACAACATGCAATAGAAATAAAGGCCTGCAATATTTTTATTTTGTTATTTCATTTGATAAAAACATGTAAAAAGATAAGAATTACTGGATATAACAAGATTTTAAATTTTTATTAAAAAACATACAAGAATGCATTTCAGAAACCCCCTAAAAGGGTGGTGCCCGCAGTGCTCATTTCTCATGCATTTGGTATTTCACTTCTTTAATTAATTTGAACAGACAGCTTTCTATTCCTGGCTAATACGCTGATTACATATTTTGTGATTCTAAGTGATTTATTATAAACTTTACTTTTATACATTTTCAAACAATATGGTCATGTATCACTTATAAGTTTAGTACTGTATGATGAAAGTATTCATGATGTCAGAAAAACAAGTAGGCTCAAGAAGTCTTAATACAAAATGATAAAAACCTTATTATCCAAGGTGAACCTTTCTTCTTCAGGTGAAATTTGCCCCTGAAGAAGAAAGGTCCACTTTTTTTGTAAATGCTTGGATTATAGGGTTTTTAATAATTTTTCATGATGAAATTAAATATATATAAATATCTTGTTTAATTTAAAACAATTTCAATTATTAGTTTACTGTTACAATTATTTAAGTTTTGGTGATTTCAAAAAACTGTTGGGTAGCATTCTGTAAACAACTGTTATAAAAAGCTTCTTGAACAACACGTTTCCTTTCACTTTAAAACTATAAAACACGGTTAACAATAAAAAAAACATTAGTTTACAATGCTAATAAGAAACAAATATAAATACAGAATTCTTGATTATTCCAATTCTTTAAAAGTATTACATGGACAAGTTTGGAATTTCATTATCATTCAAATTCAACATTTTACTTTCTGATTCCTGCAACAGATTTGAAACTAAACAGACTGCACCAACTGCTTCATTTCTTTGTGTTCTATGTCAACTATGTACACTCTTTATACTAAACATGTAATCATACCATTTTAATACCTGTATTGTGTTCTAACCTGCACTGATTATTAACTACTCAGTCACTACAAATGTGAACATGCAGCATACATGTCACTGTTTAATGAAATTTATCAGGAAGTTACATTAACAAGACACAAGCTTAATTGAAGATAAGCTGTATCATATTTCTCATAAAACTAATATCTGAATAACTGCTACATCTCACAAAGTCAACACCTGAGTAGTGGCTAAGGATATTGTTTACTCACCTTTATGAAAGTTTGGATTAGCATTTTTCTTGAGAAGAAACTCAACAATTTCATGATGTCCACAACTACAGGCATACATGAGTGCAGTCCAACCAGCTTTTAATACAGTATCAATATTTATATCTGAAAGAACAAGTGCCTCACCTGAATATCAGTATGGAAAACCCAAGATAAACATATTTATAAATTAATTATGTCAAACTGTTATCAATTAATAGAGTAAAAACAGTTCTGAATATTGTTATATAACTAAAGTTAGAAATTACATACGATATTTCAATCTACCGTTTTTTGTGAGATACAATAAAGATCAACAGGACTAGTTTCCAGAATCTATAAGTGATTTTGAAAACTGTGAAAGTTACTCGAAACCTTATAATCTGGAGATATCACTGATAAATATCATTCTACTCATTTGATAAAAAAGTTCTTAAACAACATTCAAGCTACATACAAAACAAACACAGTAACAGATTTCTTAGATATAGACAATAGGAGAAAAAATGTAATCTTTGGCTCCTTTTTATACAGACTGGAGAAAAAATTCATATACTTTCATTTAAGAAATTCCACAAGCTTTTGCACTTATAAATATAATTTACATGAACCACCTTTAATACATATTGAATTCAGTTCTCATCAATCATTAACAAAAATTATATTGGAAGTTGTTTTTTTAATTCAGAAATCACAAACCTTCACCAAGTATTGAACTCAAAACATTGAGGTTGCCTTGCATAACAGCCATTCGCATGTTATCCAGATGTACAGGTGGTTCCTGTCGGTCTCTGCGTTGACTATGTTCTAAGGTACTATTCGAACTAACATACTCATTACGTGTATGAAAACCAGACCTCTTTCTTGCATATTCAGTAGATGTATTTGTATCATCCTGAAAGAAAAAGATCCATAATCTTTGTACATAAAATACAAATAGATTATAAAAAATCAAGCTTTTTTTTTTGTGTGTGTGTGGTACAATGAAAAAAATTGGAAACTTAACAAAATGCTTTTTTCACATTGCTAGTTAGATTTTTTACTAGTTATCAAACTTAATAAAATGCTCAAACTTAATAACAAAAGAATAAATAAAAAACATAAGAAATGTACATAAGGAAAAGTAAAATTCACAGTACTCACACTTCACCCAACAAATATCAAAACTAAATTAAATGTAGCCCTTCATATGCATATACATATCCTTAAAGAAGTATTGGTATTTTCACTTTCAAAATATTATACTGCATACCTAAACAGCATTTTGGATAATCTTTTGTCTCATCCATCCCAACTTACAATTTCTAATATTGAACAAAAGGCCTCTTGGATAGTGACATGTGGGTGATAAAGATAGATCTAAAATGCTATTTTATACATTTCTGATATTGAATCCATAATGGACAAATTAAGAGGAATGGGTAAATAATTCTGAATTTAATGTGATTTTTATCAAAAATTTTAAACCTATAAGTTTTTATAATAATTCAAGTCAACTGCACACACAATCATGGAAAACATTAGATGAGTATATATCTCCAATCCAAACTTAATTTTGTCAAAAACAAGTCTACATCAGTTTTCCACACGTTATTACCATTCATACTAGTATTTCTAAACTTTTCATTTCACACTTAAGTGACTTAAACCAGTTATGATTCTAGCATCACAACTCTGCATTCTTTCCAAAATGTTGACATTCTTTGGTTCTGTTGTAAAAAGATAAAAACTGCAAACAGTATTCCAAACAAGGTCTCACTATGCCAGTAGAAAATAACATAATATTATGTTAAACATTCAAAAGAAAGAGAAAAACCAAACCATAATTTTGGAACAAATTATATTCTACCAAAAGACTTACAAGAGTACTAGTCTGAACACATTCCTGTGTCTTTTTTCAGTCCTCTGTTGTTGAATTTGTCAAAGCTAGTTGTTCATGCCTTTCCATGCAATCTAGTTTGTTCCAAATCTGTGAGTTTTTTATCTTCCTTTTAAAATCTCATAAACTTTCATACAGACTTACCATAGCCTTCCTGTTTTTAAATTCAGAATTTTTATAATTATCAATAAGAACACCTCCACACATGAATTAATTCTGTTCCAAATTAACATGCTCATTTTAAACATATTTTTATATATGGGTTTCATCATTAACACAAAATATGCCTTCTTTCAAACAATTACAATAAATTGCCCAATCTAATGCATTAAACAGAATGGCTTCTACTCTGAAAAGAAAAAAAAGGGATACAATACTCAGTTCAACTTGGAAACAAACACTGAAATCAAACACAAAAGAAAGGATAAAGTAATGTGAGACAATTAAAATTTCATTCTATGTATACTAAATATATTAATTTCTTAACTGGATAAGCAGAAAATTTAAACATAATAAAGCAGAAATTATACAAACATAACAATCTGCAAGTATGAGCTTGAAGATGTTTTCCTTATAGGCATGCATAAGCATTTTGTGTCTAAAACACAGCATCAAAAAAGGATTAAAGATGCAAAGGAGGCAAAACAGGAACTTATCATAAAGAGCTACCATGGTAAACAATTACTTTATTACTATTATAGAACACATACATGCAGTTCAAATGGTAGTTAATAAACCTGTCTAATACTATGGTGAAGTGTTTAAGTATATATATATTTTGTTAAACAAGACCGATGTCTGTAGGTTTACTTTCTTCTTAGAATTCTTCTCAAGAAG